TTCATCTGTTAAGTGGGTATAATAAGAATATGTAACTTGAGCCCTAGACGGTTTGGCTCAGTGAATAGAGCGTCAGACTGTGGACCAAAGGGTCCTGGGTTCGATTCCGGTTAAGGGCCCGTACCTCAGTTGCAGGCTTCTCCCCGGCCTGGGTCCTGGTCAGGGTGCGTGTTGGAGGCAGCCAATTGATGTGTTTCTCTCACATCGATATTTCTCTCTGTCTTTCCCTCTCTTCCACTCTCTCTAAAAATCATTGGAGCCCTAACCGGTTTGGCTCAGTGGATAGAGCGTCGGCCTGCGGACTCAAGGGGCCCAGGTTCGATTCCGGTCAAGGGCATGTACCTTGGTTGCAGGCACATACCCAGTAAGGAGTGTGCAGGAGGCAGCTGATCAATGTTTCTCTCTCATCGATGTTTCTAACTCTCTGTCCCTCTCCCTTCCTCTCTGTAAAAAATCAATAAAATATATTTTAAAAAAAATAAAAATCAATGGAAAAATATCCTTGGGTGAGGATTAAATAAATAAATAAATAAATAAAGCAGTTTTTTTTTAAAAGTATATAACTTGAAAGATTAAATGAGATGTATAATACATAACACAGTACTTAGCACATAATAAATGTTCAATTAAAGATAGCTGTTATTATGAAATAGCAGAAATAGGAAGAACCCAGTGAGTTTGTTGAATGATTCCGACATGATACCTCTTCATGTAGGTGATCACATGGATCCAGCACCTGATCCCCAAGATTGAGGATGGAAATGACTTTGGGGTAGCAATCCAGGTAAGAAAAGGGTATGTGAAGACATTAAGAGCTGGGAGAGACTTGGGGAGTAAGGGATAGGAGCTAGACATACTGGGAGGAGGAAGAAGATGGTGAGTGAAGACGGGAGGAGAAGAAGTGTTTTCTTTACCTCCCATCTCTTTTGTCCCCGCAGGAGAAGGTGCTGGAGAGGGTGAATGCAGTCAAGACCAAAGTAGAAGCCTTCCAGACAACCATTTCCAAGTGAGGGCAGCAAGAAAGCCACCATGGGTGGTGGGGGGTAGGGGAGCGGCTGTGGGGACATTTTTTGTGACTCCCAAAGCTAGGCAGTCCCATTGGGATGATGGGGGGCTTTGGGAAGGGTCTGAGGGAATATATCCCTCTGAATGCTCATTCTTGTGGTTACTCCCCTTGCTTCTGGCAGGTACTTCTCAGAACGTGGGGATGCTGTGGCCAAGGCCTCTAAGGAGACCCATGTAGTGAGTAGATTGTCTACTAGCCTTTCAGCTGAGGCTGGCAGGTGGGAGGGTGAGGAAAGGGGGATAGAAGTCTTCTTTGTCTTGTTTATGACCTTCCCAATATGGGGAATATTAAGGTATAAGTATTGCCTAGGAAACTGATTTGCGTTTCAAAAATATTGACCCCTTTTTTTGTTTGGCACGATGGGAATCCCGTTTCTTGTGTAAGGGCTCATCCTCAAGTTACCTATTCCCTGTATGAGGAAACCAGCTATGTCTCAACCTCCTGACTCAGCTTTGCCTTCCACATCCCAGATGGATTACCGGGCCTTGGTGCACGAGCGAGATGAGGCAGCCTATAGGGAGCTCAGGGCCATGGTGCTGGACCTAAGGGCCTTCTATGTGAGTATGGAGTAAGCCCCCAAGGGATTTGGATGAGGGGGTACAGAGGGAGAGCCAAGATCCTGACTGCTGTACTTCTGGCCTTCTTTCAGGCTGAGCTTTATCATATCATTAGCAGCAACCTGGAGAAAATTGTCAACCCAAAGGGTGAAGAGAAGCCATCTATGTACTGACCCCAGGGCTAGAAGGGAAATAAATTACCAATACTTTGTGTGGATTACCTCTGGTGTGTGTCATTCATTCAGAAAGCATTTACTGAGCGCCACCTTTGTCCAGACACTGAATGTGAATGTGGTGGCGGGAAAGGAAGGGGGTTCCAGGAAGACAAAGATGAATTATATGCCCATTCTGTTCTTAAGAAGTCATCCTAAAGAACAGGGTGGAAACTGTTACCTTCCACGAAGGCCATGAAGATAGCTTGTATTTGGGATTTTCACAAGATTATTTCCATCTGGGGGTTTCGTGAGTGCTTCCTGTAAGAGGCAGTATTTGGGCAGAGCCCTTATAGGAAGAATCAAGGTTTGGACAGACAAGAGGAAAGCTCTTTGGCTGAGGTCAGGGAATGAAGAAGGAAAAGCCTTTCATTCCTTCATGAGCTCAGAGCAAGCCTGGAGAAAGAATGAAGTTTCACTGGAAGAATTACAGGTTAATGGTTGAACTTCTCAAAGATGGGAGGAAAAAAACTCCCAAGGCATTATGCTAAAGCAAATTACAGCACAGGACATTATGGGAAGGATGGGTCTGTATAGTTTTTTTACCCTCCTTCAGCCAATTGCTGTCTGTTTCTGCAGATATTACATCAAGGAAACCAAAGGCCAGATAACCTGTAGTTGGCTCATTATTAAATGCAAGAGCCGGGCTAGAGTACAAACCCACTCATTCCATAGTAGGAGAAAGGTAATTCGCTACATGCCCAAGTTCAAAGTACCTAACGCGGGCTGAGCGGGCTGACTCTGCGGGCCCTTCGGGGCCCCGCACATCCTGCAATCACAGGTCCAAGGTGGGCAGCCTAGCCAATCAGCGCGCAGGCAGTTCTCTTTACAGCGGTGGGTCCTTTCCACTCCGCTGGAGACAAAGGTGGGGCAAGTTTGGCTGAGGCCGGTGATTGGACAAAATGAGAACCTCCAAGCCTATCACAGAGCACCATGTAGTCAGTCCCCTGGAAGCTGGTCTGGCTCGGAGCGGGCGGCTCCGGGTCTGCGGCCGCCCCCTGGGGG